ATGATTGTTTGTGTCTGTTGATAAATGATTATTTGTGTCCGTTGAAAAATGTATGTTTGTGTCTGTTGATAAATGATTATTTGTGTCTGTTCTTAAACGATTATTGATGTCTGTTAATCAATAATTATTTGTGTCTGGTGATTAATGAATGGTTGTCTTATGATAAGTTTTCGTTTTTGTCTGTAGATAGATTATTGTTTGTGTCTGTTGATAAATGATTGTCTGTGTCTGTTGATAAATGATTATTTGTGCCTGTTCATAAACGATTATTGATGTCTGTTAATTAATAATTATTTGTGTCTGGTGATTAATGAATGTTTGTCTTATGATAAGTTTTCGTTTTTGTCTGTAGATAGATTATTGTTTGTGTCTGTTGATAAATGATTGTGTGTGTCTGTTGATAAATGATTGTTTGTGTCTGGTGATTACAGTTGTGGGACCGCACAACGCACCAAAAATAGCGTACGCACACCGTGCATACATCGTTCACACACCGTCCGCACATCGTTCACACATGGTGCGCACAACTGTGCGATTTAGCAATCGTTCGCCCCGCTGTGCGCTTCTCTCCGCACAACTGTACGATTTGGTATCATTTGTAGATCAAAATTACGGAATGCCAAAAATACGTTGATAAATTAATGTTTTTGTCTGTTGATAAATGAATGTTTATGTCTTATGATAAGTTATTGTTTGTGTCTGTTGAGAAATGATTGTTTGTGACTGTTTATACATGATTGTTTGTGTCTGTTGATAAATGATTATCTGTGTCTGTTGATAAATGATTGTTTGTGTCTGTTGATAAATGACTATTTGTGTCTGTTGATAAATGATTATTTGTGTCTGTTGATAAATGATTATTTGTGTCTGTTGATGAATTATTGTTTGTGTCTGTAGATAAATGATTTTGTGTGTCTGTTGATAAATTATTACTTGCCTCTGTTGATAAATTAATGTTTTTGTCTGTTGATAAATGAATGTTTGTGTCCTATGATGAATTTTTGTTTTTGTCTGTGGATAAATTATTGTTTGTGTCTGTTGATTAATGATTGTTTGTGTCTGTTGATAAATGATTGTTTGTGTCTTTTGATAAATGAATGTTTGTGTCCTATGATAAATTATTGTTTTTGTCTGTTGATAAATTATTATTTGTGTCTGTTGATAAATGAATGTTTGTGTCTGTTGATCAATGGTTGTTTGTGTCTGTTTATAAATCATTATTTGTGTCTGTTGATAAATGATTATTTGTGTCTGTTGATAAGTGATTATTTGTGTCTGTTGATAAATGATTGTTTTTGTCTTTTGATAAATGAATGTTTGTGTCCTATGATGAATTTTGGTTTTGGCTGTGGATAAATTATTGTTTGTGTCTGTTGATTAATGATTGTTTGAGTCTGTTGATAAATGATTGTTTGTGTCTTTTGATAAATGAATGTTTATGTCCTATTGTCTGTTGATAAATGATTATTTGTGTCTGTTGATAAGTGATTATTTGTGTCTGTTGATAAATGATTATTTGTGTCTGTTGATAAGTGATTATTTGTGTCTGTTGATAAATGATTATTTGTGTCTGTTGATAAGTGATTATTTGTGTCTGTTGATAAATGATTGTTTGTGTCTTTTGATAAATGGATGTTTGTGTCCTATGATAAATTATTGTTTTTGTCTGTTGATAAATTATTATTTGTGTCTGTTGATAAATTAATGTTTGTGTCTTAGGATACATCATTATTTTTGTGTGTTGATAAATTATCACTGGCGTCTGTTGATAAAATGATTATTTGCGGCTGTTGATAAATGAGTATTTGTGCCTGTTCATAAAGGATTATTGATGTTTGTTAATTAATAATATTATTGATGTCTGTTAATTAATGATTATTTCTGTCTGGTGATTAATGATTATTTGTGTCTGTTGATAAATTATCTCTGGCGTCTGTTGATAAATGATTGTTTGTGTCTTTTGATAAATGGATGTTTGTGTCCTATGATAAATTATTGTTTTTGTCTGTTGATAAATTATTATTTGTGTCTGTTGATAAATTATCACTATTGTTTGTGTCTGTTGATAAATAAATGTTTGTGCCTTATAATAAATTATTGTTTGTGTCTGTTGAGAAATGATTTCATAAATGATTATTTGTGTCTGTTGATAAGTGATTATTTGTGTCTGTTGATAAATGATTATTTGTGTCTGTTGATAAATTATTATTTGTGTCTGTTGATAAATTATCTCTGGCGTCTGTTGATAAATGATTGTTTTTGTCTTTTGATAAATGAATGTTTGTGTCCTATGATAAATTTTTGTTTTTGTCTGTAGATAAATTATTGTTTGTGTCTGTTGATTAGTGATTGTTTGTGTCTGTTGATAAATGATTGTGTGTGTCTGTTGATAAATGATTGTTTGTGTCTGTTGATTGTCTGTTGATAAATTATTATTTGTGTCTGTTGATAAATGAATGTTTGTGTCTTAGGATACATCATTATTTGTGTGTGTTGATAAATTATCACTGGCGTCTGTTGATAAATAAATGTTTGTGCCTTATGATAAATTATTGTTTGTGTCTGTTGAGAAATGATTGTTTGTGACTGTCTATATATGATTGTTTGTGTTCGTTGATAATTGAATGTTTTTGTCTTATGATTAATTATTGTTTGTGTCTCTTGATAAATGATTATTTGCGGCTGTTGATAAATGAGTATTTGTGTCTGTTCATAAACGATTATTGATGTCTGTTAATTAATGATTATTTCTGTCTGGTGATTAATGATTATTTGTGTCTGTTTAAAAATGATTGTTTGTGTCTGTTGATAAATGATTGTTTGTGTCTTTTGATAAATTATCACTGGCGTCTGTTGATAAATGATTGCTTGTGTCTGTTGATAAATAAATATTTGTGTCTTATGATAAATTATTGTTTGTGTCTACTGAGAAATGATTGTTTTTGACTGTTTATACATGATTGTCTGTTGATAATTGAATGTTTTTGTCTGATGCTTAATTATTGTTTGTGTCTCTTGATAAATGATTGTTTGCGGCTGTTGATAAATGAGTATTTGTGCCTGTTCATAAAGGATTATTGATGTTTGTTAATTAATAATTATTTGTGTCTGGTGATTAATGATTATTTGTGTCTGTTTATAAATGATTGTTTGTGTCTGTTGATAAATTAATGTTTGTGTCTGTTGATACATGATTTTTTGTGTCTGTTGATAAATGATTGTATGCGTCTGTTGATAAATGATTGTTTGTGTCTGTTGATAAATTATTGTTTGTGTCTCTTGATGAATTATTGTTTGTGTCTGCAGATAAATGATTTTGTGTGTCTGTTGATAAATTATTATTTGCCTCTGTTGATAAATTAATGTTTTTGTCTGTTGATAAATGAATGTTTGTGTCCTATGATAAATTTTTGTTTTTGTCTGTAGATAAATTATTGTTTGTGTCTGTTGATAAATGATTGTTTGTGTCTGTTGATAAATGATTGTTTGTGTCTTTTGATAAATGAATGTTTGTGTCCTATGATAAATTAGTGTTTTTGTCTATTGATAAATTATTATTTGTGTCTGTTGATAAATGAATGTTTGTGTCTTAGGATACATCATTATTTTTGTCTTTTGATAAATTATCACTGGCGTCTCTTGATAAATGATTGTTTGCGGCTGTTGATAAATGAGTATTTGTGCCTGTTCATAAAGGATTATTGATGTTTGTTAATTAATAATTATTTGTGTCTGGTGATTAATGATTATTTGTGTCTGTTCATAAATGATTATTTGTGTCTGTTGATAAATTATCACTGGCGCCTGTTGATAAATGATTGTTTGTGTCTGTTGATAAATAAATGTTTGTGTCTTATGATAAGTTATTGTTTGTGTCTGTTGAGAAATGATTGTTTGTGACTGTTTATACATGATTGTTTGTGTCTGTTGATAATTGAATGTTTTTGTCCTATGATAAATTATTATTTGTGTCTGTTGATAAATGATTGTTTGCGGCTGTTGATAAATGAGTATTTGTGTCTGTTCATAAACGATTATTGACGTCTGTTAATTAATAATTATTTGTGTCTGGTGATTAATGAATGTTTGTGTCTTATGATAAATTTTTGTTTTTGTCTGTAGATAAATTATTGTTTGTGTCTGTTGATAAATGATTGTGTGTGTCTGTTGATAAATGATTGTTTGTGTCTTTTGATAAATGAATGTTTATGTCCTATGATAAATTATTATTTGTGTCTGTTGATAAATAAATGTTTGTGTCTTATGATAAATTATTGTTTGTGTCTGCTGAGAAATGATTGTTTGTGACTGTTTATACATGATTGTCTGTTGATAATTGAATGTTTTTGTCTGATGCTTAATTATTGTTTGTGTCTCTTGATAAATGATTGTTTGCGGCTGTTGATAAATGAGTATTTGTGCCTGTTCATAAACGATTATTGATGTCTGTTAATTAATAATTATTTGTGTCTGGTGATTAATGATTATTTGTGTCTGTTTATAAATGATTGTTTGTGTCTGTTGATAAATTAATGTTTGTGTCTGATGATAAATTATCATTTGCGTCTGTTGATACTTGATTTTTTGTGTCTGTTGATAAATGATTGTTTGCGTCTGTTGATAAATGATTGTTTGTGTCTGTTGATAAATTATTGTTTGTGTCTGTTGATAAATGATTGTTTGCGTCTGTTGATAAATTATTATTTGCGTCTGTTGATAAATTATTATTTGCGTCTGTTGATAAATTATTGTTTGTGTCTGTTGATAAATGATTGTTTGTGTCTGTTGATACATGTTTGTTTCCGTGACATGCTTTGAGACTATTTTAGATCTATTGTCGGAAATGTGATGAGACAGTTTCTCTTTCCATATAAGTACAATTTATTCATACGAAAGTTTTGTCTATCTTTTGATTGTATCAAGGTTTTAGACCTGATTTATTATTTTTTTGGGAGTATGAAAGTGTAACATCCTAACGGTATGCCGTTTTACTTACATAGCCAAGGACAAGCTGGAGTCTGTGAGATGGCCTAAGTCAGATGGGGACGTTAAATCTCCGAGTCCCTCCATACCTGACCTTACTGTGTCGGAAAACATCGAGTACCGTGTGATCAAGTCTCCGTCATGCATTAGTCTGGACAACGACGGTAACATACATGTGCACTTGCATTTAGTCAGATCCTTGCAAAATAATCCTTACTACACAGGCAGGCCTAACTTCCAATGGGTCAGCGTTTCTGAGGACGATCCACACAACATAATTAGCTAATGCATTCCAAATATAATTAACCAATAATTGACATTGTCCCAGTATTTTCTATGACTCTTAGTCAAATATGTGAATATCCGTCTCTCCTTGTTTCGGACAGTCGCTCTAAACTTTAACTGCAAAATTGTATTTTAAGATAAGCGAGATATATTGAGTTATGTGCCAAGACGTTTCAGACTGCTGTAGAGCCTAACTGATGCTTTCAGTCTAGATATTTTGACAGGTGGGTTCAGAATATTGAAGAGTAGTTTATCTAGTGGTTTCGGACTATTGTAGAGTAGCTTATCTAGTGGTTTCGGACTTAGTTTGGATGGTGGTAGACTACTGTCATTCTTGACTAATGCCTTAAGTCTTCAGTATTAGACATATGATTTTAGACTACTATACCACTTGACTGATGCTGTATGACTACTGTACCACTTGACTGATGAGTTATGACTAATGTAGTGCTTGACTGATGATTTATAACTACTGTAGAGCTAGACTGGTGGTTTATGACTACTGTACCGCTTGACTGATGATTTATGGCTACTGTACCACTTGACTGATGAGTTATGACTACTGTAGAGATTGGCTGATGATTTATGACTACTGTACCGCTTGACTGATGATTTATGGCTACTGTACCACTTGACTGATGAGTTATGACTACTGTAGAGATTGACTGATGATTTATGACTACTGTACC